AATTTAATTGAGTTGAGGGCTTGAGGCCTTGAAGTTTTATATGGTGTTTTCAGAAACCGGTACCTAATTATTGATGTTCAACATCAACGGTATTTTGTCGTCTACCGGAATACTGTTATACCGATGACTTGGCGCGGATAAGTAATACACATTTTTAATTTTAAGATATTATATTATGGCATACATCTCAAACTTCGGTATTTGAGCAAACATCCAAACTATACACCGAAAAAACTTCAATAAGTTCAAAGTCCATACAAAAGATTATCTAAGACCATATTAAAACTTTTAATATATTTAAAAAACGCTTAAGGCGATAATCATAGTGAAATGTAAAATAGTTAATGGGTTATTCAGTACCTACTTATATGTTAAAAAATAAATTAAAACTGCCTTGAATTTCTCGAAACATATGTAATCTATTAAGACAAATGAATCACACTGTATATCTATTACCTACGATTTACAATAATTTTTATATTGTGACATTGACAGGTTTAGTATATACTTTAAGGTGGAGCAATGACAATAATAATTTATTAACAACTTCTTCCGATTATACTGCTTGTGTTTGGACACTGAAGAATTACAATCAAACAGACTTCCAAGTATGAATAATTAAATAAATATTATTAAATAAAGTATATACTTCAAAATTATTATTTTTAGATTCTTCCGCATCCGTCGTATGTATATTGTGCTGAATATAACAATACAGTTATAATAACTGGATGTTACGATAGTATATTGCGATTATGGACTTTCAACCTTAATAAATGGACATTGTGCCAAGAAATGGAATTCCACAAAGGTTTTATATCAAGTATTGCTTTGATGGAGACTTTGGTACTTTCGGCCGACAGCCATGGGCTTATTATCGAATGGACCCTCGAAAACAGTAGGTAGGTCTGAGGTCATAATTATTTAATATTATTTAATATACGTAATCGACATTAAATATCATTGAACGTTAAAATACGTAAATRGCTCATTTAATTATGGATATTATATTACGTACCTACAGGGATGTAATTTTGTTGACATTGTGTAGATAAATCTGACATTTTTAGAATCTGAGCGAATTTGAATCTTGTTTTTTTTTGTGTGTGTTTCATCGCCTATTGATTTTCTACTTTCGGATTTTTGATTTTTTTTTTGGTAGGAAAGTGAATCTAGTTAAATTGTTTTAATAGCAACAATATCATAAAATATATTTAGTAATATAGACCGAATGAATGTCTTCGTTCAGAGTCGTTGTTCGTATACAATTGAATTCAGTGATGATGTATTTTAACCATTTTTAATTTGCGGTGTCCTGGTCCTGGAAAATACTTATTCTGCTCAAATAATWACATATAGCTTCATCATAAATTCATACTTGATTATAATACACCTTRATATCTTATAACTTATAAGAGGTAATTTTCTTGCAAAAAATTTTAGGGCTACTACCTATACATTTTTAATTATAAAAAAWTTATGACAGGAATTATTAATAAACGATTTGACTGAATAATTAGTTTAACACTTAAATTTACAATAATAATATTGTATAATACACCTAATAAGGTGYGATAGCCAATAATACAGCTCGACATCACAAAACGATAATACAATTTCGCTAATTAGAAAATAAATACTAATACCTATATTATATAATATGGTTATACAATAAAAAATACATTATTAAATTTTCAAAGCAGTTATAAAATATTTCATCATTTATCAACAATATATTTTGGGATACTTCAGCAATGAAAAGAACTAGAAAAAAAGATTAGCGGTGATTTTAAGTATTTTAACCCCCTGCAAGACACTCCGGCCCTATTTACGCCACTGATCGATTGAATTAAAATTTAACATATCCATTACAATGAACCACACGATACATATATAATGTGCAAAAGAGCTGTATCCACTTGTCAACTGGTTTTTTACTTATGGTCCCCTCCAAAGATGTACATATGTCGATAATCTATAAAATATATTTAATACATTAATATATGATGCATAATGCGTATACATAATTTTAGGCTAGAACTAAAAAGAATGATATCAATACCCGAAATACGACAAGTTATAATAAGTAATATAATTTTACATCCAGCCGGTAAACGACTTCTAATTCAAACCAGGGATAGTATTTTACGRATGATGGATTTACATACGACGGCAATCATACAGTGGTTTAGGGTAAGTAACTAGATTAGGATTTGTCATGGGGAATACAAATGTGAACTTTGATAGGGCGGTGTAAACAATAAAGTACARACAGGATGTGTATTAAGTCCTTGTGGTAATCTTGTTTTTGGCTGTGGCGAAGACGGACTAGTTAATGTTTGGGAAGCATACACTGCTAAACAATTGGCATTTTATACGAACCGCCAAGATTTATCAACAGCTACTAGTGGCGCAGTAGATTAYCATCCACATGATCATATGATAGTATTTGGGGTATATACTCCAAATAAAAATTCACCCGTTTATGTTGCTCAGTATAAAAAGTAAGTTGTCGGCTGTTTTTTTTTTTTTTTACATAATCATAAGAGAATCTYAATTTTGGATTATATTTCAGAGAAAATGAAACAGACATTGGTTTGAGATATTTGATTCCCACAGAACACAAACAAAAAAGTTTTGGGCATGTTAATCATCAGACAGCAGATTATGGATATTTCGATAAATTAAAAGCAAGAGAACATGATAATCAACGCATAATGCCATTAGTCAATATAATTAAGAGAATGGATAGCGTTTTAAATTCATTTAAGATAAAAGAATAACAAACAATTATGTATTTATGAACTACACCCATATATATGTACCGTTTCCACACCATMATTTAAAATGACTGTCTCCRTTATTACCCTTTTCAAAAATTTAAAAAAAAAAGGTTTGATTCCTGTTCCCGAAAATATATATCTGTTATGGTAAAATTATTATACTTATATATAAYATGTATTCGATATTTTTGGAAGAAATTTTGCATTGTTTGCATGTTTGCAACAAACACTATATGATATATTGAATTTAGTATTAAAAAAGTGATTATTTTTAAAATTACCTATATCTTTAAATTTTTAATCACGAAGTCAAGAAAAGTTAGCTTGAAATATTTGTTCATGATGGTTTATTTTTATTTGTTGTATAATGTTTTGATCACATAATACGAGWTGCAGGCAAATTGGCGGAAACGGGAATCAAACCTTTTTTTAATATTGGAAGAAATGGGGGATTAYGGAAACGGACATTTTTAATTTTTGACAGAAACAAGTAATTACCTTAATATATGCAGTACCCAACACCAAATTAATAAAAATATGATTGCCAAAACATTTAATATTTATTCATATAGCATGTACTTATACAATATTTTTCTATTGTTTTTTTATTGAAATGTTTAACATTAACAGAAGACTTTACAAAACTCTACAAACAACTGTTTTTTTTTTTAAACTTA